CAGTTCTAGGCCCAGAGGCCTTACTCCACAGTGGGCCATGATGCCCAACAATCCAGGCCCAAACTTCTAAGGCCCAAAAACCCTTATTCATCACTTTGTATGCGTACACGCGGCGTACCTGGCACGTACGCCCAACGTACGCTGGCCTTGACCAGAAGCGGGAAGTTGACCCAGTACGCACAGCGTACCAGGGTGTACGCCCAGCGTACTGGCCAACTTCCTAAAGACTCCTTTTGTGACTTAATCCAATAATTCCTAACGTCCAAAACATAGATCCATGTCCTTTAAGACGTCCTAATCCATAAAGTTACAAACTTTATGTCTTTTCATGCATAGATGGAGGTTAAAACATGATTTAAGTCCTTAAACAAACTTTGTGGCCATCAAACACTTGCATGGTTGTGGCTTAACCATCAAGGTCCGATTTTTATGACTCTAAATGCTTCAAAGAGCTCAAAAGGACAACTCTTATGGTCTGGAACTACCAATACACAAGAAGCCTCCACAATTGAGTCCAACAGTTACATAAAACACCCCAAAACCAAATCTAAGCATGCATTAGCCAAGTAGAAAGATTTATACCTCCAATGGGTCAGAAATGATGCCAAACTTCTGGATCTACAAGCCCTTTCCAAGCTCTTGCTCCTTCTTCAAACTCATTCTTCTTCAAAATCACCAAAGTTACACCAAAAACTCAAAGTAAGCTCCAAAATACAAACAAGAGGATTAGGGTTCGAGTTGGGCACTGAGAGGACAAGGGTGGCTGAGAGGATAAGGGTTTTGGAGATTATAAGTTGTTTAAATAGGGTGCAAACCCTAAAATTTAGGCTTTGTGGTCTGCACTCGTACGCCGCACGTACTCTTTGGTACGTTGTGCGTACGTGAAAGTCATGCGCGATAATTCTTGTTAGTACGTTGCGCGTACATAGGGTGGTACGCCCAACGTACGGCACCCTGAAGCCCAACTTAGTAAGTGTGCAATGGATCCAAGCCCAATCAATATAGAATAACTAGCCCAATAATTATAGAAAATACATTGGAGAATTTTCGATCGTTACAAATCTCCCCCACTTGAATTAGACTTCATCCTCAAAGTCTGCTGCCGCTGTCGGGAATAACTCGGGGTAATGCTCCCTCATCTCGTCTTCTAGATCCCACGTCCATTCCGAGCCCTTACGATGCTGCCACTGCACCTTCACCAGTTCTACTCCCTTATTTCTCAGAGCTTTCGTCTTCCTGTCGAGAATGGCTACATGCCTCTCGATGAAGTTCAGGCGGTCATCCACCTGTATGTCCTCCAAAGGAACCACTGAGGAATCATTGGCTATGCACTTCCGTAGCTGCGAGACATGAAAACTGTTGTGGATCTGTCTAAGCTCCTCCCAAAGGTCCAACCGATATGCTACCTTGCCCACCCGGGCTACCACCCTGAAAGGTCCGATATACCTGGGGCCCAGCTTGCCCCGTTTTCTGAAACGGATGACACCTTTCCAAGGTGACACCTTCAGAAGGACCATATCCCTGACTTGAAACTCCAAGTCCGATCGGCGTCTATCAGCGTAGCTCTTCTGCCGACTCTAGGTCGTCTGGAGTCTACTCCGGACCTGCTGGATCTTCTCCGTCGTCTTGAGTACCACCTCGGTACTCCCCATGACTCTTTGGCCCACCTCACCCCAACATATTGGGGTCCTGCAATTCCTCCCCTAAAGCATCTCGAAGGGAGGACGGTCGATACTGGCGTGGTAGCTATTATTATAGGAAAACTCTGCCAAGGGAAGGTAGGTATCCCAGCTACCACCGAAGTCTAGAACGCACGCCCGTAGCATATCGTCCAAGGTCTGGATGGTCCACTCGCTCTGACCATCTGTCTACGGTTGGAAAGCCATGCTGAAGTGCAAACGAGTACCCAACTCGTCATGAAATTTCTTCCAGAATCTGGAAGTGAACCGTACATCCCTGTCAGAAATCACAGAAACTGGCACCCCGTGTAGAGCTACTACCTCTCTGATGTAGATATCTGCCAGCTTCTCGGCCGAGATACTCTCCAGAATCGGTATGAAATGGGCGCTCTTGGTCAATCGATCCATGATGATCCATATCGCGTCAACTCCGCGCGCCGTCCGAGGTAACTTCGTAATGAAGTCCATAGTGATCTCCTCCCACTTCCACACATGGATATCCAACGGCTGCATTTTTCCGTGCGGTCTCTGGTGCTCTGCCTTGACTTTCTTGCAAGTCAAGCATCTCTCAACGTACCAGGCTACATCCCGCTTCATGCAGGGCCACCAATAGTCAGGACGAAGATCCCTATACATCTTCATCGCCCCGGGATGGATAGAAAATCTGGATTTGTGTGCCTCCTCCATCAGAACCTGACGCACACCCCCAAGATATGGAACCCACACTCTACGATGGAGTGTCAATAGCCCGCGACTATCATAGTCGAATGAGGAAATCTGACCCATAATACGCTCGCTCTTATGATGTTCCTCCTTCATAGCCTCCTGTCGAGCCTCCCGAATCTGCTCCAAAAGCGGAGTCACCACTATAATCCTTAGACAGATGTCTCTGATCAGGGCCATGAATTCCTTGCGGCTAAGTGCATCGGCCACAACATTGGCCTTCCCCGGGTGTTAGAGGATCTCGGAATCGTAATCCTTAACCACGTCAAACCACCGCTGCTGCCTCATGTTCAGATTTGGCTGGTCCATCAAGTACCTCAAGCTCTTGTGATCCGTGTAAATGGTACATTAGACCCCATAGAGGTAGTGTCGCCAAATCTTGAGGGCGAGAACAACCGCCCCCACCTCCAGGTCATGCGTCGGTAATTCGTCTCGTGAGGCTTCAACTGCCTCGAGGCGTAAGCGATGACGTGCCCTCTCTGCATCAATAGTGCGCCCAAACCCGAGATGGACGCGTCACAATACACTACAAAATCCTCCATGCCCTCTGGCAGGGCTAAGATCGGCGCCTCGCACAACCTCTGTCTCAAAGTCTCGAAAGGCGCCTGCTGCTCAGGCCCCCAGCTGAAAGTCACCGACTTTTTGGTCAGTCGGGTCAATGGTACCGCTATCTTGGAGAAATCCTGAATGAATCTCCGATAATAGCCTGCTAAACCGAGGAAGCTCCGAATCTCGGATGGAGACCTCGGAACCTCCCATCTCATCACGGCCTCTACCTGGGCCGGATCAACCAGTATATCGTTCTGGTTGACGAGGTGCCCCAGAAACTGCACCTCGCACAACCAAAACTCGCACTTGGAGAACTTCGTGAAAAGTCTCTCCCTCCTCAGTGTCTCCAACACCTCCCTCAAGTGCTCCTCGTGCTGCTCTTGTGTCTTGGAATAAACCAAGATATCATCAATAAAGACTATCGCAGACCGATCCAGCATCAGTCTGCATACGCGGTTCATGAGATCCATGAACGCGACAGGAGCATTGGTAAGACCAAACGACATCACCATGAACTCATAGTGACCATAGCGAGTCCGAAAAGTAGTCTTCTATACATCCTCATCTCTGAATCTCATCTAGTGATAGCCGGAACACAAATCAATCTTGGAAAACCAAGATGCTCCCTGAAGTTGGTCAAAAAGATCGTCGATCCTCGGGAGTGGGTAACGGTTCTTCACCGTCACCTTATTCAACTCCCAGTAGTCTATACACTTCCGATGTGACCCATCCTTCTTCTTCACAAATAGGATCGGGGCTCCCCATGGCGAACTGCTCAGCCTGATAAACCCCTTGTCTAACAGCTCCTGCAGCTATGTAGACAACTCCTGCGTCTCGGTAGGATCCAACCGATACGGTGACTTGGCTATCGGATCCGCATCCAGAACTAGGTCAATCCTGAACTCCACCTGACGCTCTGGAGGTACCCCACGCAAGTCCTCCGGAAACACGTCCAGATACTCCCGCACAACTGGCACATCATCCACATTCGCCTTACCCTCCTCCCGGGTATCCATAACGTAGGCGACAAAACCTTCACATCCCTGATGAAGGTAGCATCTGGCTCTCGCTGCCGAACACATGATCGTCCCACACTGTTGTCTCTCACCCTGAATCACCAACTCTTCCCCACTTGGGGTCCAGACCCAAACCAACTGATGCTCACAGCCGATCACCGCCCCATTAGGGCTCAACCAATCCATGCCTATGATGACCTTGTTCCCACGCAAAGGAATGGGAACCAAATCCACGAGGTAACGCTCGTCATGCCTCCTTAGTACACAATCCTTATAAACCTCTGATGCCCGGACGGATCGATCGTCCGCAATCTCAACCTCTAAAGGACAATCTAACGTGCCTGAAGGCTCAGTAAACCTCTTGCAGAGTGCAATAGAACGAAAGATCGGGTAGCTCCCGAATCAAATAACACCAACACTAGGATACCGTTCACATGGAACGATCCTAAAACATAATACATAAAACATAATTATCAAAACTGAAACATAGTAAAAGATAGGGAGAAGAAACATACCCGTCACTAGGGGTGTTCACGATTCGGTTTGAAAACCGTGAAACCGGTCATCGGTTTGGTTTTACGGTTTGTATATTTATTTACGGTTTGGCTTGCGGTTTCGAAATTTCTAAACCGTAATGAACGGTTTGGCTTATGGTTTTTAAGATTTCAAACCGTATAAAAACCGGACCGGACCGTAGGGTTTGTATATATATATATATATATATATATATATATATATATATATATATATATATATATTAATTTTTTATATGTATTTGTATTTTATTATATTATATATTAATTTTTATATATAAATATAAAATTTAAACCCACAACATTAAATTATGCGAGCCCAATTGTAGTGTCTTTTGTGAACAGGTAAATGAAGCCCAATTGAGACCAGCTCCAAGCAATCGTTTCCACTTGCCCTAATCCAAAGATGCAAAACAATCTCTCGACTCTTGTTGTTCTTCTTATTTCCTTCTCTATCGTTGCCACTTGCTAATTGAGTCTGAGAGTCGGAGAGGTAGAACATGTCCGACAGTATCAAGCCCTCCGACTACACCTCGTTGCCTCTGCCTACAGCTTCGCTTGTAGCAGCTCCACTTCCTGGTCCGCTTGGTGCTTGCTCATCTCGTTGCTCCCTCTCTGAAGGTATATTCTGAGCTTAGTTATGCATATCCGACAGATTCACAAAGATTCTTGTTCACATGGTATTGGACTTGTCTCATCTGTTTCCCCTCCTCCAGATAACCCCTCAACCGTCATAAATTATGCTTAATATTGTTAAAAATTCTGCCTAATATTGTTAAAAAAAACTGTAATATTAAAGCTACTAGCCAATGAAGAGTATATATAATTGATAATGTTTGAAATTTGATTTGTTTATATGTCTGTTAGTGTTTTTATTAGCTCTTCTTTGAAGAGATAGCTCGAGATATTCTTAGTAGCTGTTGGAAGCTTACCAGAGTTGAATGTTTATGGTCATGATTACCACACAAAAGATGGCAGTGTTGTATGTATCTATCTATTCTTGTTATAGCAGCGTACTTCTTCCATTCACTTATAATTTTTTATTTATCTTTGCAGATCCGGGATTACATCCATGTGATGAATTTGGTTGATGGTCTTGTTGCAGCACTTAAAGAGCTAGACGAATTTGTGTTATATATTTTTATGGTGGTGGTTTGCAGGGTAAAATATGGGATCGAGGAGATGTGCAGGGGTCAATGGAATTGGGCAAAACAGAACCCATGGGGATACCAGAAGCTGATGACATGGTCTTCAAGTAGTTGGGAATTAATAATAATCAAGTGTTTAGGTAGCATATATGACGAGTCTAAGTCAAATGGTGAAAGCAGGTAATCTGAATATGGGTTAATTGCAAGGATATTATTGTGAATACATTGGTTGGTTTCAACTTTCAAGCAAATCAGATGACGACGCAAGTCATATACATCCAAACCAAAAGAGTCAAAGTGTGCATTGCATGGTTTTAAGTCTTATGTTATAATTAGTTGTGAATTTGGGTTAATGAATTGAAAAGTTTACATATCCTTCCAACTTCGCACATGTATATGTCTTTCAAATAATCAGGGTTATAGTGTAGTCTCTATTATGAATTATCTAGTTTGTTAGGCAAAAATTTTTACAACTTTAATATTGTAGTTTTTTTAACAATATTAGGCAAAATTTTTGCTGTTTTGACAGCTTTAATATTGCAGTTTTTTTAACAATATTTTGCAGAATTTTTGTTGTTTTAATAGCTTTACTAGTGCAGTTTTTTTTAACTAAATTAGTCTAATGGACTCGACTAAAATGGGCCTAAAAAGCTCAAACTGTGAAAACAAACCGGAGCCAACCGTTAGTAACGGTTTGGTTTGGTTCGATTTTAAATCTTCAACGGTTCGACTTTGGTTTTTGCTAGATAAAAACCGTTACTAACGGTTTGGCTTCGGTTTGACCGAAAAACCAAAAAAACCGGACCGTGAACACCCCTACCCGTCACCACATCTGGCGCGACACGCGCCTCCTCGGCGGTCAGCTGGAAGGCTCGGCTCCTCACCACAGGAGCATATGGCTTGCCCTGTCGGCCATTTGTGATCTGCAGGGTCGCTGGAGCTGGCGCCGCCACTGGCGCTCCTGATACCATTCTCGGGCAGTTGGCCTTTTTATGGCCCTTCTGATTGCAATGGAAGCAAATTAGGTATGATGTATGAATGGTGGGGGCAGGGGCAGTACAATCCCTGCCAAAGTACCCAAGTTTGTCGCACGTATATCAGCCCGATGCCCCCAATCTGTAAAACTCCCTCATACGTCTTGCCGCATTTCCCACAGCGGCTCCGACCCTGCTGACCCTTCGACCTCGAGTCGAATCCCTTGGGTTTATTTGCCGAAACCCTAGTCGTCTTCCCAGTCTCCGCCTTCCTCTTCCTGATGTGCTTTATATCAATCTCCCTCTCACGTGCTCTGGCTATCATGTCCTCCAAGGCCGGGCACGCAGAGTAACCGACATGTTTTCGAATGTCAGCTCTCAACATGTCATAGTACCGGGTTTTCTTCATCTCCTCATCACCCGCGTACTGAGGCACCAACAAGGCCCTCTCCCTGAACTTAGCAGTAATCTCCGCCAATATCTCAGTAGTTTGTTTCATATCCAGGAACTCCCTGGCTAGCTGTTGAATCTCCACAGCCGGCGCAAACTCAGCCCGAAATCTGGTCACAAAGTCCGACCAGGTCATAGCCTCAATGGCTGGGGCTCCCAACGTATCATTGACTTCCTCCCACCAGTCTCTAGCTCTCTCCCTTAAACAACCAGCAACATACCTGACCTTCGACCCCTCAGGGAAGAAGCTCGTCAACAGTGCAGAATCAATGGCTGCAATCCATCTCCTAGCCACAATGGGGTCATTCACCCCGTTGAAGTCTAGCGCACTACATCCCCTAAAATCCTTGAAGGAGAGTGTGTGAGTCCCTGAGTGGCCAGGTGCCATGTCACTCCTGAATGCCCTAAGGCGATCCTCCATCAGCTCAATGATACCCTCCTTGATCGACCCGAAAATCATTGGGGTCGCCCCAATGATGCCTTTCATAATCTTGGATGCTATGAACTCGCGCAATCCATCATCGACTAGCTCGGAACCCGTACCCGAACCTGACCCAGACTCTGAACCTCCTGCTCTGTGACGTGTCACCACCATTTTGAAACAAAACACACAATCGTCAGGGTCATACATAACCTCGAGAGGTCTCACACACACTACAAATTCCATGGTTCTATCCCAGCCCTCCTTGACTCGAGTACGAATCCTCTGCTTTTAGTAGTACGGGCTCATACTACCTTCTACATCTATCCGTACTTTCCTCAAGGATTGCTTTGAATTTACCAAGTCCCTTCTACTACTATTGCTTTCCATGCTAGTCTCATCCTAGGCTTACCCTAGGGTAATCTCCGACCCACTCACCGCCATCAGCTGCATAAGAAGTCCCTGCTACCTCTCCCTAACTAGCTTGCGAATACCATTACATATCACTAAGACCAGATAATTCTTCGAATGAGAGGTCATACATAACCTCGAGAGGTCTCACACACACTACAAATTCCATGGTTCTATCCCAGCCCTCCTTGACTCGAGTACGAATCCTCTGCTTTTAGTAGTACGGGCCCATACTACCTTCTACATCTATCCGTACTTTCCTCAAGGATTGCTTTGAATTTACCAAGTCCCTTCTACTACTATTGCTTTCCATGCTAGTCTCATCCTAGGCTTACCCTAGGGTAATCTCCGACCCACTCACCGCCATCAGCTGCATAAGAAGTCCCTGCTACCTCTCCCTAACTAGCTTGCGAATACCATTACATATCACTAAGACCAGATAATTCTTCGAATGAGAGGTCCTATCCTACAACGGTTGCACTCAGACAAGAGCTGCGAAATAGGGCTAGACCTAACCTTCTAAAATTATTTAGTCCTCGTAATATGTAACTTAACGTATTCGTTTACTAGTTAATTAAAGATAACTAGAACTCCTAAAATCACAAAGCAAGCAACATTCGAGCATTGAGTAACCAAAACCAAGAACATCCTAATCAAACCATCATATCACGGACTAATCAGTATTAGCATGTTGTTCAATAAGCTCATATAATTGGCATACAAGGCATCATTCCTAGATCCTTAGCCCTAATCTAGCATGCAGTTCTCATACACATACAACAGGCATATAAGGCATCCTTCCTAGATCCTTAGCCCTAATCTAGCATGCAATTCTCATAATCATATCATATATCATAACAAACATGTATGGGTATCTTGGGGAAAACTTACTTGAGCTCGGCAGATTGCATGCATCACACTCCTTGTTCTTTCTCAAAAACTTGGATTTAATTTTAGTAAAATTATTTTTCTTGTAAAAACCTTTCAAACCCTCGATTTGAGTCCAGACACCCCCGAAGGTGTGTCCGAATCCCCCAAACCAAGGCTCGGATACCAACTTGTAACACCCTTAAATTTACAACCCAAAAATTTCATTTTTAAGTTTAACAATCATAAAAAACCCATTTCATTTTTTTCAAAACCATGAAAACATAAAATAGTTTAGTTGTGCAATGATAGATATAAAATCATCATCAGAGTCATAATACCAAAATCACTAGTGCGGAAAATCCATGGTGTGATGCGATACGATCAAGTCGGCCCTTTCCCCTTCGAACTAGAAGTACCTGAAACAAAAACTGAAAACCGTAAGCACAAAGCTTAGTGAGTTCCCCCATCATACCACATACCATACAATAACATACTGCCTAGCATATCAGGGTGCTGGCCTCCCCTTCGGTCACTTTCAACCGGTAACCGCCTAGCATATCAGGGTGTTGACCTACCCCTTCGGTCTCTTTCAACCGGTAACCACCTAGCATATCAGGGTGTTGACCTACCCCTTCGGTCTCTTGCAACCTGTTACGGGGACTATTTCACCCCTACCACTACCACATTATAGCATACATAATCATACTGCCAGTCATATATGGGTGCCTGACCTACCCCTTCGGTCTTATTGACCGGATACGGGGTCTATTTCACCCCTACCACTATCACATAATACCATAACATACTAGCACATAAATCATAATAGATAGTGGCATACCAGATAATTATCACAAAGACAATTATCTAACTACAAACTCCTACTAGTAGGCCGACCTTGGTGCCTTAGACCCACTACTACTAGGAATGTAACTCGCCTCGCAAGGCTGAATGCAGAATCTCACGGTAAGAAATCTCTAACAACTGCTCCGACGACTCCCCGAGCTATCATTACCACAATAACACTTAGTAAAAAACTAATAATCATTCTTAGGGTAAAATGACTATTTTACCCCTGATCTAATTTGGCCAATGCCTAAGGCCCAACACCTTAACATGAAAGGCCCAAATCCAAATAGTCTTCCCAAGCCCACTAGTGGCTCACCAATGGCCCGATTTTCTAAATTGGGCCCAACTCCTCAAATGGGCCTTATCTTAAGCCCAAAAGGCCTAATACCATAAATCTCAGTTCTAGGCCCAGAGGCCTTACTCCATAGTGGGCCATGAGGCCCAACAATCCAGGCCCAAACTTCTAAGGCCCAAAAACCATTATTCATCACTCTGTATGTGTACGCGCGACGTACCTTGCACGTACGCCTAGTGTACGCTGGCCTTGACCAGAAGTGGGAAGTTGACCCAGTACGCGCAACGTACCAGGGTGTACGCCCAACGTACTGGCTAGCTTCCTAAAGACTCCTTTTGTGACTTAATCCATTAAGTCCTAACGTCCAAAACATAAATCCAGGTCCTTTAAGACGTCCTAATCCATAAAGTTACAAACTTTATGTCTTTGCATGCGTAGATGGGGGTTAAAACATGATTTAAGTCCTTAAACAAACTTTGTGACCATCAAACACTTGCATGGTTGTGGCTTAACCATCACGGTCCGATTTTTATGACTTTAAATGCTTCCAAGAGCTCAAAAGGAAAACTCTTAGGGCTTGGAACTACCAAGACACAAGAAACCTCAACAATGGAGTCCAAAAGTGACATAAAACACCCCAAAACCAAATTTAAGCATGCATTAGCCAAGTAGAAACCTTTATACCTCCAAAGTAAGATCCAAAATACAAACAAGAGGATTAGGGTTCGAGTTGGGCACTGAGTGGACAAGAGAGGCTGAGAGGATAAGGGTTTTGGAGATTATAAGTTGTTTAAATAGGGTGCAAACCCTAACATTTAGGGTTTGTGGTCTGCACTCGTACGCCGCGCGTACTCTTTGGTACGTTACGCGTAAGTGAAAGGCATGCATGATCATTCTTGTTAGTACGTTGCGGGTAC